AAATGTTATTGAAACTTATAGGGGTATTGCAAAATTAAGCGCCATTCCAAAACTTTTCGAACTTCTAGTATCACGTAGAATAATTCATTTCGTTTCGCCAATAATTTCACCTTGTCAACATGGTTTCATAAAAGGGAGATCGACTTTAACTAATCTGATGGAATTAACATGCCATGCACACCATGGATTTTCTACAAAGCAACAAACAGATGCAATTTACACTGATTTTAGTAAAGCATTTGAAGCGGTGTTACACAAACTTTTATTATTTAAATAGGACGCCATGGGTTTTCCATTCAAAATGTTGACTTTGATTTCATCCTACTTGCAAAACCGCACTCAAAGCGTATCTTATAATAATATTTTCTCTAGAAATATTGATGTTCATTCTGGAGTTCCTCAAGGTAGCCATTTAGGTCCACTATTCTTTGTGTTATACCTTAATGATCTTCCATCAGTGATTCAATTTTCTAAAGTGCTGATGATGTAAAACTTTTCAGAAATTTAGATGATTTGCACTCTCTTGAAAATGATTTGCACTCTCTTGAATACTGGTGCAGTATTAACGGTATGTCACTGAATCTTAAAAAATGTAAAAAATTATGCCTTTCTAAATGTCGTTCAATTCCCACCAATTATTTTATAGGCTCTTACAAATTAGACAATGTTGATTCTTTTGTTGATCTTATTTGCTCTTAGAGGATTGCCTTGGAGTACAGTTGAAGGACTGTCTCCTTATGAAAATCGTTTAAAACTTATTAATCTTCCAACACTAGAACGAAGACGTTTAATGCTGAGATCTATATTTTTAATAAAACTTTTACGCGGTCAAATTGACTCGAAATTTTTAATCGGTGAAATCAAGTTTAATGTACCTTCACGTCTTACTCGTAATTATATACCGCTTTATCTTCCTTTAGTGAGATCTAATTATGAGTTATGTAATAATTTAGATCACTATGTGAAATATATAACAACCTGTATAATCGCATCTTTTTATCTGATCCAATACATGTAATTAAAAATTCTATTCTAAATTTAGAACTGTAGAGTGCAAGCAGTTTTATAAAAAAAGTCAAATTTGCCGAATGTGCCCCTACCCGGCTTTTGATGGGGCACATTCGGCACCATTTTCATAGCCTGGTAATTATCACCGCTGTCAGTCTGATTGAAATTCAGATCCTCTAAAGGTTCTATTTTGTTTTACTATGCGACCCAATGTTTGACTTTTAAGGCTACGGCGGACGTTGAAATCTCAAGGTCGCACACACAATCAGAAATAGGGTTTTTTCTATCGCATTTTCGTCAATACAAGCACATTTGATATATCGTCAGCTAAAATGCAAAAAGGCGTAACTAACAAAAGCATAATTGTGCAGGAGAAGCAAAAAACTGTTTTGAATGAAAACTATAAACATGTCATGTGAAATGAAAAAGTATGCCCGGCAGGGTGATATTGCGTATGACGAATAATAGACTATAATTTTTTTTAACAAATTTAGTTATTTAGTTTAATGGCAGTCATAACAATTAAATAAAAATTTTGATTTTTTTTTTAGTTACGCCTTTTTGCTTCTTTTTTGACCGCAGACGTGTAAAACTTTGTCAACACATGTAGTTTATTGGCATTCACAATATTCATTCAAAAAGTCAATTTTCAATTCTTTGTTAGTTACGCCTATTTGCATTTTAGCTAACGATATATGTAATTTCAAATTTCGTGCAAATTGAAAGATATATAGGGACTTTGGTGCACTATTTACCTAAAATCGTACGAAAATATATATGGGAGCTATATCTAAATCTGAACCGATTTTCACGAAACTTAACACACATCACTCTAGACTTAATTTAGTACGCTATGCCAAATTTCATGCAAATCGAAAGATATATAGGAACTTTGCTGCAATATTTACCTAAAATCGGACGAAACTATATATGGGAGCTATGTCTAAATCTGAACCGATTTTTCCCAATTTCAATAGGGTTCGTCCTTGGGCCAAATAAATGAGCTGTGCCGAATCAAAAATACGACCTGTACTTTGTGTACAATTAACATGGACAGGCTGACAGACGGACGGACGGGCATGCATAAATCGACTTAAAAAGTGATTCTACGCATATTCTTAAAAGGAACCATGTGTCTATCTCGTTTCCTTTTGCCTGTTACAAACATATGCACAAATACATAATACCCTATACCACAGTGTGGTGAAGCGTATAACAATACAAAAAAAAAGCTTGTTACCTAGATATTTTAAACTTTGCACACAGCTATTTTTAAATTCCCTACCTATGGATCAAAGCTAGTGATGTACAATAAAAGCTTCATATCGAAGACGCCATTGCCGAAGGTGCTCCGATGTAGAAGCTGCCCCAGTCTTCCCTAATGGTAAGAATATTGCTTCTCATTATAAACGGCACGCTTAATCAAGTAAAAAAGTGGTTAAGTTCTGGCTTGCCGAACTTTTAAAAAGCCTTTTCAGTTAGAAAATGCGGCCAAACCCCTCCAAATACCGAAAATATGTTGGGACATACATATGATGCAAAAATATATGGTCATCCTTCAAAGACGCCAAATGCCACGTTGCAGCCATTTCTGTTGAAAATACTCCTAAAATCTCCAAAAAATTTAGTGTCCCACTATATGGGAATTATACCATAACGTGAACGGATATGTGCTATTTACAATACCTAAACTCATAGGAGTAATAGCAATGTTAATGCAAAATTTCAACATACATACATTGGTTAATCGACATAGAATTCTTTTCTGACGAAGAGTATTTTAGAATGGGAAAAAGAATACCATTATTTTTATATGAACTATAGGACTTTATTTAATATGCTTCGGAATGTCCGATTTGGGCCAAACTTCCCAACCAACCTCCCGAAGTTTCTGGCGAGTCACTGTAGATGTGTGTGGCCTAGTGTTGTCCTGGTGGAACACGACACCTCTCACCTCTAATCCCCTTCCAGTCCCACCAAATGCATAGCAGAACCTTCTTGGCCGTTAGTCCTGGTTTGTCACCGTTTAAGATGCTTCACGATCCATTCGATCCATTCTATTTTTTCTGTTAATTGGTGAGGCACCCAAACATCGAGCTTCATTTTGAATCCAGCTTTGTGTATATGGTTTAAAACAGTTTTATGGTCGATTTTTAGCTTCTGGGCGATGTAACGACTGCTAACATGCCGGTCAACTTCGATCATTTCTCTGATTTTATCGACATTTTCGACAACCGGCCTAATGGATTTCTATTTCTCCAACCTAATATATCCTTTATGGGACCTCGTATCATTTAAATCATTCGAGGTGTTGCAAACGGAATGACAAATTTAATATAAACTTTGGTGAAGGGTATAAATATTGTTTTTTTTTTTTTTTTTTTTTTGAATACGAGGGCTGTAAATATATATATACATATATACAGATATATATGTATTCCTAGACTAATATTTAGAATGCGTCCGAGACCATATTTTGAAAATCAAAATCGTTGACCACACATTTATTTGTGATGTGCGAAAATAAAAAAGTCATCATAAAAATGGCAAAATAGACCCACACGGTCTATTTTGCCATTTTTAGCAGCTGAAGTTGCTATAATTTTATAATACTCAAAAATATTTATTTTGAGGCCCAGTTATCTTCAAGGCTTCAATTCCTGGATCGGGATTTTCATTAGGATCGTCAGAAACATTTTCGACTAAGGTCTTGGTCGGGCTTAATTTGTTTGGGATATATTTCTATGAAGTAGCATTGTTCACTTAAGGGAAACCCCCCCCCCCCCCCCCTTCTCAATTTTTTATTTTTAAGATTTTTAATGGGCTGGTAAATGAATACCAATGCTTGTTAAGATTTGTAACTTTGAACATATATATTTGAAGATTTATAAGGCAAGAAAAATAATTTACAAAAAAAGCCTGACTATTTTGCAAAAACAAAAAAAATTGTGTAATAGTTTTGTTGTTGTTTTTTGTAATTCAAGAAAAGTCCTTATTTTTGATGGCGGGCATGATAACTCCTCACTGGAACATCGGAATCCGAAAATTCCAACGGTGTTAGAAAGAGTACAGGTCTGACCTTCGAAAAAAATTTTTTTGGGAAATCGCCGATTTTTTACCAAAAACCAAGTTAAAAAATAATGAAGATCTTCACCGATTGGCTTTATCCTAGTTCATACGATAACAGTACACTTACAGAGAAACGTGTAAAAATTTGGAATCGATTGGGTTATTAGTTTTTGAGTTATCGTGCCCGCCATTCGCAAAAGAGAAAAAACGCGTTTAAAATTTGAGAAGCCCTTTAGCCGTCACTTGATGCTGGCACAATAAATCGGCTATATCTTCAAGAGTTCTTGAGATTTTCGCTTGAAATTTTGTAGGTACATTCTCGAATTAGTGTAGATTCGAATTAAATCAAAAATATTTTTGATCCCGTGAATGGGGGGTCCCCTTAAGTCTTTTTGGCCTAGCTGTGAAAAGCATAATCTCAGAAATTAGTTTTTTAATAATCTACTAAAATATTTCTAAAAAAAAAAAAAAAAAAAAAAAATAATAATAAATATATGAATGGTTAATAAAAATATATTGGCTAGTTCATTTTCGCTATATTTTTATTCGTCGTTTTTTAAGTCACAAACCAATCATGTTCCAAACACTGTGTAATAAAATGCTACAATTTTACTATCGATGAATTAAGAATTTTGATTTAAATATTCATTTCTTTCGACCAGTTTTTCATGTTCATTTGCATTTAGTAGCCGACAATAAACAAACAAAACAACAACAAATACTCGATCTAACTTAAGACAACTGGCGCTCAACGGCCAGCAAGCAGGCTTGGAAACCTTTTTTTAATTCACATTTCACATTAGTTTATTTTGGAACGGGCTGGTGATAAGACGTAAAGAAAAAAACTTAAAAAACATAGAAATTTACTAAAATTAAAAAGAAAATAATCGTAATAAAAATATTATAAAATTAAATTAAAAAAATAAAACAAAAATGCCCCAACCACTAACAAAATCCTGCCTCAGTGCTCATGACCAACAAGTCTTGGAATCGATATTCAATCCATTGGAATTGACATCAACACTAGCACCACAGCTCATTAATGCCGATTCCAGTGAAGTATTGGTGGACGCAGATGATTATGCGGAATCCAAAGAGGTGGTAGAAAAATCGAAACTCTTGGAAATTGAAGCTGTCAAATTGGTAGAAGAAAATCATTCGGATGCGGTGGCATTCGAGAAATTTAAAGAAGCCTTAGAATTAACCCCCAAACGTGCATCAATTTATAATAACAGAGCGCAGGCGTTGCGCTTAGCTGGCAAAGATGATGGTGAGTTTTTGTGGTGGATACTTGTTATTGGCTGGTGGAAAGGGAATTTTATTTTAATTTCCCTTATATGGTTGTTGAATTGGATGAGTACTAAAAGGGGAAATTGGGGTGAATTGGATAGTCTTGTAGTAGAGTTATAAACCATGAGTGTTGAATTACAACAAAGTCACCAATGCGTGGCCATCGACGGGTGAATAAGCCATGTGGTGAAGTATGTTTTGCTCATTTAGTACTAAATGTATATGTTGTTTATTGCTCTTAGCAAAGATATACACCTGTTAGGGGGTGGTTATAACAAAAATACCGCAGTGAGGTGATTGAGTAAGGATAAGGTTGGTGTCTTGACTATAATTACGGATAATAAAAATTTTCGCGGAAAATTTTTTTATCCGTGAACAAAAAACATTGTTTTTTCATCCAATTTTCGCGGAAATCAATCAACAAAATCAAAAAAATAATCAAAAATCATTAATTTTGGAAAAAATTTTGATGAAAATTAATAGTATAACAGTTTTATAACAGTATAACAGTTAACGGTGCTATAATTGTGAAAGTGTCATAAACTGTTATACGCTTAGCGATTCAACCAAAGACATAAAAAAGTATAAAGATAGGACATTTTATAGTCACGAATGAAATATAGATGTCGGTCACGATATGGTGACATAACATACATAACATAATGTTAACTTTGAGAGTATATTCTCTGAAATGCACTGGAATTTTGACAAAAAGGCAATTATTTCAAAGAGACAGACTGTCATAGCAAAGTAGAGCAGTATTTTGTTTGAAAAAAAAAACACACAAACAACAAATTATTTATTATGTAAATCATACTCATTTACAATTTTGTTTATTTCAAATTGTCATGTTCGACGTTGTTAAAGCCGAAGATAACAACGAATCAGATAAAGAAGGAAGGCAATTCTTTGAGAAGGAAAAATTATATCGCTCATTTGCTGCAACCAAGGGCATAACTAAAAAACCGATTTTGCAGAAAATACGTTTTAAGTTTTCAATTTACTCTCTCACTTTTTATTAGAGCGTGTAAGAGATATTCATATGAAATTTTTACGTATTATAGCGAACAATCGTGCATCATTAACTCGAAAAACACGTTTTTGAGTTACGCCTCTCTTGCAGCAAATGAGAGATATAATGGTCATACACTCCACCTTATGATGAAAAGTATAAAAAAACGTCATTCCGTTACAACACCTAGAAATATTCCCCGAAGTTCTCATTTTTGATCAGAATAAAATTCTCAATGTCCAGATAGGCTGTCTATCTGTTGAAATGACAATACAGCTCGCAATTTCTATTGCAAATAGGATATATTGATCCTCATTTAGGTATAGACCCCATATAATGGTGCATCCCATTATTCGGTATTTTCGGGGTTTGAGAACGTCCTTTTTCAAACTAATTCGCTACCGTCTAATATTTCAGGCTTTCATTGGGTGTTAAATTCCTACCCAATAATTTACCGTGATTTAGCCCCCATATACAAGCTCCAATCGATTTTAAGTCTCTTTATGTATTTTTGTATGTTTGTAACATGCAAAAGGAAACGAAATAGGCCCACATTTTTTTTAAGGATGCAAATAGAAACATTTTCTGAGTCGGGTTTTTAACATAAACTACAGCACTCATTTATGATCCGAATGATATGAAATTCGCCACAGCTAAAATAAGTATCGGGAAAATCCTAAAAATTATAATAGAGGGGCTAAAAATAGAAGACACATGTATCAGTGTTTTAACCCTTTCAGTGTCAAGATAAAATTTTGTCGGAATAAAAATCTAAAATTTTGTATTTAAAATCATATAAAGGTTTTAAAAAAATAAAGTTCAAAAACAAAGCCATCAATAGAAACGGTACATAAGATAATCGAAAAATCGCAAAGAAAGAGAGTAATTTTAAATGTCGAATATATTCGCAAAAACACTGAAAGGGTTAAAAGTTAACGTCTGGAGGTAACATAAAAAGGAGGTCCGATAATCCCGCCATTTCAAGAGATTTTAAAATATTTGGATTATGATTAGGTATATGGTGTCTTTGGCAATATTACTGATATTAATGTGAGAGATATTTTTGTGTAATATGTTAATCCTCAATCGGCTCGGTGAACGGGTCTTTTCGACTCCTTTTCCAGAAATGATTGAAAGCTCATTTAAAACAGCGTTATTGCATGCCAGAATATTCCACAAAAATGTTCGCCATAAAGTTTATATAAACTCGATATACTCAAGTATAGACTCGAAAATCAGCCTTAACGCAAAAATCTTAAAAATATGAACACTTATTTTAGGGTTTTGCCGATGTTATTTATTTGTATCAATTTTTTCAACTAGATTTTTCGCCCCTTTATCACAATTTTATAAAATTTCGCAATAATCATCAAAAAAATAAAAAATAAATAAAAAAAGCGCAAAATCGGATCATATTTAGATATAACTCTTATATATTTTTTCGTCCGATTTCAAGCCGAAGCCTCACATTTGTCCGACCGACACCAAAATACACTCCAGTATTAAGTCCACAATTCCGTTTGGTTTGTTTTGTTTTAAATCGGTTTAGATTTAGATATAAGTCTCTAAGTCTAACTGATTGAGCATCTCTTGTTTTCACCCAAAGTGATGTAGGGTGATATTGTAATTTCAAATTTGCAACAATGGTCTATAATTCATAGACCCCTAGGTCAGGCTCTTTTTAGCCTCATTTCAACACCGAGGTGAAAGTAATTTTTACATAGCTCCCATATAAAGTATCCGTCCCATTTTTTTTATTTTTATGGTTCTTGATGCATTATTTTTGTTGAAATAGCTGTAATTTAGCATTCCGGGTTATTGGAGGGAGAGAATATGGTTTTTGACATTTGTTGTTGACAACATACCTCAGTTTCGTTCATTTTTCGTATTTGACCCCTAAGAAAGGCCAAATATGGAGAATACGCGGGCACGAATTCCAATTAAAGTATTATACCATATTTTCTAAATGTTCTGCGGAGTCGAACAAATTTTATGTGGACTTCGACGCCGACCCCAAACTTATTACTAAGACTTCATTCTGATATATTATGAAAAATATTCGATCGAGGAAGCCTTCATTACTTTATTCATGTTTTTTGAAGCAATATTTAGATTTTAACTTGAAAATTGTGTAAATTTTGTTATTAGATTTGGAATGAAGTAACACTGTTAGATTTACTATAATTATATAAAATAAAGCGACATCCTTATGGGAAACTTAAACCAAGGTTCATCCTGGTTTCTGTCATTGTATCGCATTTAAAATTACATTCATTTCAATCATATTTTTAAAAATATAATTTTTTTCGTTTCAGATGCCTTTGCCGATCTCAACAAGGCCATTGAATATGGTGCCACCCAACATAAAACGAAATGCCATGCACTGTGTCAACGTGGTGTACTTTATCGCAAAATGGACAAACTTGATGATGCCCGACGTGATTTTGAGGAGGCAGCGAAAATGGGTAGCAAATTTGCCAAGACACAATTGGTGGAAATTAATCCATTCGCAGCACTGTGCAATCAAATGTTGCGACAGGCATTTGATCAATTGAAATAGGAGATTTATTACATTTAATTAGCTTGTAGAAAAAATAAAATTAGAAGTAGTACAAATGTTTGTTTTATTTAATAATATCTAATTGGTTCTCTGGCACAAGATGGACGACCATGGAAATCTTTTTTAAGCTCGGCTGATAATACACATTAAAAAAAAATGTCCACGCATGTGATCGGTCCATAAAAACGTTTGTAAGGTCCCAGATAACATATTTTTAAATAGTTTTCGCTTGTTAGTCGCTGAAGCTCAATATGACTGACTATGTCGATGTCCGCGTATAGATTTTAAAGCTCGTAATTCATTCGACGTCGGAGATTTTGTTCTCTCAAACACCGCAGGAGCTGTCTCATCTGCATCAAAACTGAAATCATTAGTTTTATTTATGGCAGTAGCAAGGTATATAAAATCGTTAACTACCTCGAAGCTGTAGTTCTCAAGTTCCACCGTTGGTCCGAGACTGCTGTACGTCATGCGCCATTTACTGCCACTTTGGCAGACTCCTTCTCAATTCGTTGAAAGGTGGCTGTTACCGCTCGCAATATTCGACCCATTAAATCTATGTCATAGAGTGTCATTTCTGTTAACCTCTGCGTCTCGTATGTCCTTTTCTAGCTGGATATAAAAAAGATCTCACGACAAACTGTCAGCTTTTCTAAATCCTCGTTGAAGGGCTCCGATAGGTCCTTTCCGACTTTAACTGCTGACCTTGTGCAAGTTCAAGTTATCCTGCCTAGCCGTATTAATTTTGCAGGAATGCCGAACGCAGACATGGCTTTAAATAGCTCTGAACGGATAGGACTGTCGAATGCGGCGCTATAGTCGACGAATAGGTGGAATGTTTTTTCGTGACTGGAAATCTCGTCAATGGTGGATTTTCCACGTCTGAAGCCACATTGTTATAGTCCAATAATGTCATTGATCATTCAGTCGTTCACACATCACACTAGATAGCACTTTATATGCGATGGGAAGAAGACTAATTTCTCTATATGGACACAGGATGCTGAGGTTCCAGTCATTGGACATGCATTCCTCTAGCCAAATTGTACTAATCAGCTGGTGCATGCTCCAAACCAGCATCTGACCACCAGTCTTGAATAGTTCGGCTGGTAATCAATCGGCTCCAACTTTTTTATTGTTCTTCAGCCGATTAATTGCTATTCTGACCTCATCTTGGTGGTTTTTTGTTAGGCTCCCTGATTTCTTTTAAATCCAGGGAAGTTAAAGTTAAGTCCCTTAAAAAGTATTGATAGTGATAGTTTGGTCACTGTAAAATAAATAATTAACCAGTAAGGAAAGTAGTAACGTCGGACGGGGCCGACTATATGATACCCTTCACCACTATGGGTATATTAAACAGGACTATTAACATAAAATTGGATGACAAAAATATGTGATATTTATCTAAATGTGAATCTACCTAGATCCATCCATAAAGTATGTCAATCGACTTCTAACAAATATAAATACGTCATCCGTTGGGCTATGTCTAGAAAACGCAACTAAGTAATTCTATGCTAAATTTTGTACGTTGTGCAAAATTTGATGTCAATCTGACTAACATGAGGAGTTTGATGCCCAATTTACTTGAAATCGGGCGGAAATATATATGGAAGCTCTATCCAAATATTAAGCGATTTCAAACAAACTTGTCACAGGAAACTAATTTCAGAACGCTTTGTTCCTATAGGTTCCTTGGTGCGCCAATTACTTAAAACCAATCTATAATAAAATCAGGACCGATTTTCACGAAACAAGGTAGACATCACTCTGGGCTCAATTCAGTTCGTTATGTCAAATTTCGTGCAAATCGAAAGATATATAGCGACTTTGGTGCACAATTTACATGAAATCGGACGAAACTATATGTGGGAGCTATATAGAAATCTGGACCGGTTTTCTCGAAACTTGGCAGACATCACTCTAGGCTCAATTCAGTACGTTATGCCAAATTTCGTGCAAATCGAAGGATATATAGGGACTTTGGTGCACCATTTACATGAAATCGGACGAAACTATATATGTGAGCTGTATAGAAATCTGGACCGATTTTCATGAAACTTGACAGACATCATTCTAGACTCAATTCAGTACGATATGCCAAATTTCATGCAAATCGAAGGATATATAGCGACTTTGGTGCACCATTTACATGAAATCGGACGAAACTATATATGGGAGCTATATCTAAATCTGGACCGATTTTCTCGAAGCTTGGTAGACATCATTATAGGCAGAATTCAGTACGTTATGCCAAATTTCGTGCAACTCGAAAGATATATAGGGACTTTGGTGCACCATTTGGATAAAATCGGACGAAACTATATATGGGAGCTATATCTAAATCTGGACCGATTTTCTCGATACTTGGCAGACATCATTCTAGACATAAAAGATTAGGCTGTACCAAATTTCGTGCAAATCGAAAGATATATAGGGACCAGTTACATTAAATCGGTTAAATATATATATATGGGAGCTATATCTAAATCTGAACCGATTTTTCCCAATTTTAATAGGGTTCATCCTTGGGCCAAATAAGTGACCTATGCCAAATTTCATCCAATTCGGATCATAAATGCGACCTGTACTTTGTTTACAATTTAACATGGAAAGACAGACGGAACGACAGACGGACGGACGGACATGCATTAATCGACTTAAAAAGTGATTCTATGCATATTCTCAAAAGGAACCATGTGTCTATCTCGTTTCCTTTTGCCTGTTACAAACATATGCACAAAGACATAATACCAGAGTGTGGTGAAGGGTATAAAAGAAAATGGTTTCTTATTTTGTTAATTCAGGCTTGCTGGTGTTTTTCACCCTCCATAAACCTGGAATGCCAAATTGCAGCCACATCGTTTGGCAAATCCTTGAAAATACAAAAAATGCAACTGGATGTTTATCAGGAAGCTATGTTAAAACAAAATTGATCATTTTTTTCTGCATAGATTTGTGTTAGGCTCCAAAAACTCGGAATATCAAACTCGGAACATTTAAAATGCCGAAAATTGGGAATCTTGATATGAATCTTTATATGAGGGCTATGTCAAAACATGGACTCATATTAATAATTGTATGTATAGATATGCGTTAGCCAGGAACATAAAATTACAGCCATTTCGGGGTCCCCTTAAAAATATTTATTTAATTCCATGTTTGTAAAGGTCGATCCTTGAAGGAATATTCGCCTCTATTTTAAACAATCACGCTTGATAAAGACCCCTGAAAAAATTTGTTTAAAAAATATACACTGACCCTTGAAAATATATTTTTTATTTTCACAAAATCCAAATTTAATTCAATTTGAGAATAATTAATTTCAGTTTATCAATTTAACAATTATCACAAAATATAGGTCAGTAAGGTTCCGTTACAGTTTTTATTTTCCTTCAACTTTCAATTTTCATAACCAGTTCGCTATAATCAATAATCCGTAATTAAGAATAAATGTTTTTTATTTCACATCTCGAAAGCAATGCATATCTTAAGGATAACACCTTGTAAAAGGATAACCAGCACGACAACGGGAACTCTTTCATCAATGTCAGTCACAAAACTAGATGGGCTAATTATACAAAGCGAGCGTGGTGTGAAAAATGCACTGAAGCTAATCATGAATATTTAATTTGGCAAATAAGCTTCCATAAAAAAAAGAAGGGCCAATATCGAGCTAACTGGTTGGTAGCCTGCCAACCTGGTCAATGGCTTGCCTTGACCAACAAAATGCAGAAAAAATAAATAAAAGAAAATAAAAACACCTTTTAAGGATTTCCCTTTGTCATGAAGGAGAGCCCAGAAGAAAAAAAAAACGCTGAACGTTGTAATGACATTTGTTGATTACAAATCGAATTGAATTCGATCTGAATTTATCGGCTGTGGACAAGCAAAGCCATTAAGATGAAATGCGATCCTGCGGCCAGGCTATGTGACAGTTTTACATATTGTAGAACATGTGTTCCAAAGGACACTGGCCAAAAAAAAGAGAAGAAGAAAAAACTGGTGAAAAACTGAGCAGAATTGCGACATTAACGACTTCCTTAAGACTTCCTGTCCTTGTTGGATCTGTCGCTGTCCACTCCACTTCTTATCGTCCTCTTCATCCATCTGTAGCTTTACATTAAGCTTTCACTGCTTGTTAACCATCAAAAAAGGCAAAAGATGAAGATCAAAAAGTCCCCCCACTAAAAACCCAACCAAAAACCGGAGACCAAGCCATAATTCCGTTAACTAACGATTAACCATATATCATTTGAATTAGTCTCGTGTTGAAATCGATCATCATTGATTTACAACTTGCTGCCAGTATTAACAACAACAACAAAAAACCCTACCAACAAAATTTCATTAAAGTCAAGCGGGGGAACCCAGAGCCTTTGTCGAAGTAGAAGACAGAAAACCTGTCGCATTTCATTAAAACCGGGAATATGCAAAGGGCAGGGAGAGACAATGCCATAGCCACCGCGGCTAAAGTTTCAGGATTGGCACAAGGTGCAAGGTGCGTTTTTGAATGCTTTACGATGCACTTTGTTTTTGTTTTGTTTACGAGCCTCAAAGGGGAAACGCGAATGCATCTTCCAAACCTGCAACTGTTGCATTTTGCTCTGTCCTGCCCCAAGTCGCCGTAACGAGTGTTGTGGCACGTGGTCAACAGCTTTGAATGATTGGCACGATTTTGTAACAATTCTGTGTTAAGCTCCAAATTGCAACTGTTGCCTTTGGTTGGTCAAAAAGGACCCATGGAAGTGGATGAAGATTTTTTGTTGACCCCCTTAAAGAAAAATTAGTTCATTTACCAATCCGTCTCTCTCCCTACTCAAGGGAGTAATTTTTGTTTTAATAAAGAAAAAAATCCAAGAGGATTTTTATGTGTTCTTCCCCTTACGCTACTTTTCGAAAACCAATGTGCCAACGGTACCTTCATCACCAATAACAAATAACAAGGATTAAATTGAGTCAAGACGAAGATAATCGACCATACAGTAGATTTGCAAGTC